ATTAAGGAATGTTGAGATATATTTCAATATTTATTTAATTATATCAATACATTTATATTATTGCAAAAGAGATGTAAAAAGATATCTAAATTGTGATAGAATTCTGCGACTACGCAATTGTGCGCGGTATGTTCCAATTAGCCACGTGTTTCTCTCGTGGAGGAAATAAAAGATGAAACGCATGCCGAACGACTGTGCATTCCTGTGTACCAGAGCTTATATTTGGAGCCGCCATAGTTCACTTCATTCATGCGAGTATTACGGGGCGTAAAACATGTTGTGGTAGTCGTCGTGCGGTGCAACTTTTATGCACACGCAACGTCGCGTGGCGCGCGTATATTGCCATCCTGCATTTTCGTGCACGGCTGTTAAAATATTCGTTCACCTATCAACAGCCAACATCTCCAGGATAACGGAGATCTCCTCCGCTTATGCAAAACGCGTTCTTTTTGCCACCTGAGACGACTCTCCGAGCCTTTCGCTTATCTCGACCGGCAATCACGGAATTAATGTTAAAATGTTATCGTATGACGCAACAAAACTACGTAGGCTAATACGACGTACACAGTCGGGGTCAGAGATTACGGCAATATTCAAGTCGATGTGCCATTGCAGTTTTATATACATATTCGTGAATATTTATATTCATTAGCGTCAGATGAATTACCTAGAGTAAGGGATATATGTTGTTACCACTCAATGTTGCTTTGTCACAGTTGTGTTATTTGAGATCGACGTGCCACCGACTGTAAGTTGTTTCAGATTGCTGATTTTATTTTATTTTATGTCATCCTTTGGTGACTTATTACTCTCTTCGGAGTTTTATGACAATAAAATACATATAGAAATTTGTCTCATTACGGCGTGTAATCTTCATCTCAGAGCCTCACATTTGATATAGTTAATGATCACAATGATCCAAAAAATACCAGGAACTCAGTAATTTTGATTAAAAAAAATACGCACACACATAGAGACAGATGAATCTATTTTTTGATAAAATGTTCGCTCTCGTGCGAGGGAATATTCAATAAGCGAAATCGTTACGTAAAGATTTTTTGCAACGAAAGTTCTGAATGACACCGCGTGTAGTTTAGCATCCGCGCAAAGTTCAACCGATTTGCGTGTCCAATAATGTCTTATTCATGAGTGATAAGACGAGGGCGTAGGTCGAAACGCGCGCGTATCGATGTTTCTGTAGTGCATCTAAATTATCGGCGCGTTTTGTCATTCTCTCGGTCGTTTTCTTATCTTCTTTGCTTCTTGTCTTCACCGCGCTACGTCGTAGCTCACCTCTCGAGATGCCGGCGCGATATTTCGCGCCGCTTCCTGCATAATTCACCGACAGCGCGACATTCAAATGGAGTTAAAATATATTTAACACATCCGCTTGTGAAAATTGTCAGGAAGAAGATATATATACGTATTTTTCTGTCTCTAATTTTAACTTACTTACATTTTTCTCTTCTTCTTTCTCACGTTTTAAGCTTTAGTAACACACTATCACTCAAAAGTTTTAATTTGACAAGTGTTAACGCAAATTCTCTCAATTATCTGACAGATGATAACAAAAGTAGAATCTCGAGATATTGAGATTTTCTTTTCGAGATTATAATTTTACTGCTTCCAAAATTTTGAACGATAATGTAGATGCGTCGTGTGGCATAAGAGGAAATCTCACAATATACGTCACGCGCGAAGAGACAAGATAAATTATTTTCTCCTTTCGCGCTACTAGAAAGGCAGATTTATATCGAATAGCGGAACTGACGAATGTAACGTCGTTGTCAGTTTCTTCGAAGCTGATTTGAATAGATGGATGCTTCGGAGTCGCACATTGTCGCGATGACATTTATACGCGTTCTTCTCGCCGACAAGATGACCGCGACGAATTTTGCAGTCTTCTTTTTCTCTTGAGCAAAATATGTGCTTCTCTGTGTGTATATTGACAATCTGTAAACTAGATATTTATAATATTTATTACATACTCTTTAAATATGCGCAAAATCGATATTGTTTACTGACGCGTGTTATTCACGTTTGAAAGCTTCACGATCCACGCTTCCTGCCCATCCATCGACATCGCAATAGAGAAGCACATCGTCGGCGAATAGCGTGACGAAATTTGCCGTGCCCAATTCCGTTCCGATTTCGAGATGCGATGGCAGTTTTATATCTTCCGAAGATACGAGCGTAGTTTAGACGTCGCGACGTCGGCATTCGGGCGCCACCGAGTCTGGACTTTTCGACTCCCGCGCTGCTCGACGCCAATTTTGCATTTGAACGCGTAATTCGCGAGTTGAGGGAAACCGCACGCAACGATCCGTAACTTTGGTGCACTCACAGCGTCGTTGCACCAACATCGAATATTATGTGCAAATATCTCGTTTTCTTTTGAATTTCGTCTCTCGTATTTTTCGCTACTATGTTATACAACACATTGTACGTGTCTATAAGTAACATTATTTTCACTCATTTCGATTAAATATTTGTTTTTTACAAAACACAAACTTATATGATAATATTTATAATATTTATATATACATGTACATGTATAATCTTTGGTACTAAATGTGATAAAGCGATATTTACAGCCACGTATGTTATTTAAATTACAAATTAAAACACAAATTAACAATTATAATGCGGCAAAAACACACAATACAGTATCATCTAGCTACGTTGTATAAATTTGTAATTTTTTTTCTGGTTTTACCAAAAAATGTTAATTATAAAAATGCAAAATATAATCAGGATAACGCAAATCAACTTTATATATTTTTTTTGGGATAAGAATTATTTACGTGACCTTTCCTTATACCAAGCTTATTTATATCGCTTTTTCGATTCTTCTGCAAAACGAGCCACGCTTCGTTATCATACTTGCCAAACTTCAAGTTTTTGCCGACCGAATACGCTGAAGTCATGAATCATCGTGCACATCGGCGCCATGAATATGTACCACTAAAGATCCCAACAACTTGGCTTGGCTAACGCAGCCCTCGTGTATAGAAAACCGGAAGTTCCTCGCCTTCTCCTCGCATTGCGCTATCGCGCGCGCGACTGCAAAAAAAGCCGCTCCTTTTCTCGATTGCCGAAGGGGAGATAAAATCGGACCGGTATCCCGCTGGCTGAACATGTTACCTACGATATCTCCGTAACCCCTCGTGACTCTATCGCCCTTGCACCATTTCGTCTCGATAACACCGCGATATTGTCCGACGTGCGAACGTTGCATGATAAATTGCGAACAGCACGTATTGCGTACAATATTTCTTCCTTGCAACATGACTAAACCGAATGCGGTAACAAAAATCATGTTAAGTCCGGGGTACCGGTAGTTGGTGAAAAAAGAACGGACAAGAGGTGATAGGGAGAGGGAACAGAGAATTACGCTCTATGTTGGATGAAACGCGAATCTCGCAAATACACGACTTCCATGAGCTTAATCGGAATCTTAATCTCAGGTCAAATTACAGGTCTGACCTGCCGCGGGTCGTACAATAAAAGAGTGCGGTGGGAGGGAAGGCATGAAGGAGACGGAAGAGCGCAGGCATATCTTCTTCTTTCCGCTTTGTAAGACACTTCATAAAATCATATACACTGTATGGTTAGATTCGCTCGTCTTCTCGGAATTAGTTTCTGTGAATAATAATAACAATAATAATAATTTCATGAGATGTTTTATTGTGATGTTCGGTAACAGCTTTCAGTGGCTGACATGTAAATGTGGTAGTTGCACATCATTTTAGACTAGATTGCATTTCTGAAAAAAAGTATCAACGTATGTTATTATGCCACCTGACCTCTTTGTCTGTCTGAGGTTGAATCTTACGAGAGATACGAGAGAGATCTGTACAATTTACGTATTCATATGAAACCTAATGTTGTTGCTTGGTTGTTGATGCACTTGTTCCTGAGCGCGCTTGTTCGCACAAACTTTTTCTTATATAGACGTATAGTTGTAACACTTTATTTAAAGAGTCTTAATGCAGAGAGAATGTGCCGGGGACTCGCGCGACGCTTTCTAGATATAATGTCGAGCACGAACGCTATTTATACGCCGGCTGATTCACGACACATGGCGTAGTCGCTTCGTACAATCTAACGTCTAAGACGATTTGAAAAACCATTTATCACGGTTTACATATTTACCGCATTTGCAATAATATTTATCGTTAGTTGCACGCGTAAATGGAATAAACACATTTTCAAGTAAAGTGGCAAGAAATTGTTGACAAGGCTAGTGTAACATCAATCAGAAAAACATCCTTGCAAAGTTATTATGTCGCATATTTACATATACACCTGCTGTGCCGAGACTTTTATTGCGTTTCTTGATAAACTGTCATTTATTATATTTTGTTTTGCTCGTTTCTTGTCGCTGTTAGTTTCTTGGAGCTTTTATAAATTAACTTGTTTAAATATAACTGTTTTTAAATAGCATCGCGCGAACATGGTTTTTTAATAAGTATTTACTCTGATTATAGATCACTGTAAAATATTATCTGCGTATAAATTTGTATCGCAACGAGAAAAAATCTTGACAAACGTTATTAATTTTGCCGCATTTAATTGCTTATTGCATTTTCTTCTAGTTTTCTCGTCTCAGCGGTTTGATTGAGCAATTACTTCGATGCGTGACATTGATTATTCCGCAAATCAATTGCTAGAGTTGTGATTAAATTAATTCATTACATGTATTTACCACATCCATAGTCTTATTTATTGCGTTTTTGATATTCAGTTTTTCTTACATACGTGAGTTTTTATATTAGTGAGAATCTAATACTTATAAGGTCGAAACATATGGTCACATTTGAAGATTGAGAGAATAAAAAGTTTTGCACAAAAAAACCAACTTTATTTGACCTTTTTTCTTTTCAATTTAATTTTAAGTTTGTAGAGCCTAACTATTATACATTGTTTTTTTAAATTAAATTAATCTACTTGCAACGAGCAATCTCAATAACGCTCCCCAATCGCCTTGTCTGTTGCAGGATGAAAAGGTCACGATGCTGAGACCCGGATCCGTGCTGGGCCTGTTGGTCCTCGTGACCATAATGAGAATCGCGGACGCGAACCGCTGTCTGACGATGCTGGAAGGTAAATCATTGCTTATTATCGCCGCACTGATTATAACACGGCTCAATTATGACGCATTTGTTATAACCGACGATATTATCAGCTCTAGCGCTATAGACATATTAGAAAAAAAAAAAAAAACAACGTAGAAACGACACCGCTAATTGCCGCGATGATCATGTCAAGGAATTAATTGTGTATCTCGTCCACGATTCGATCATCGCTTTGCTCGTTGATGAGCAATCAATAGACGTGTAGCCAACCCCGCAGGATGCGTAAATGAGAAGCTCAAGCGCATTCCGCTGTACATATGTACAATGTAACTGCACCGCATAGTTTACCTGCTTATTATCGTGCGCTTAAACACCGCGAGAATTGGCAACGGCCAGAAAACGTTCTCTTCTCTCCAACTGTATGTTTTTCTCAGATGTTTACATTATTCAGACCCGACGACAAAGAAAAAGAGGAATAAGAGACAAGAAACCTTGAATTTTTGCATATGCAGCGATTCTCGGCTCATATTTTTCAACCGTCTGCGCGACAAGTTTATTTTTATTATATTATTTATTACACACGAGGATTCGGATATATTGTTTTTCCTGCTGGACAGCACCGTTATGTAACTCGTTAGAATTCAATCGGCGCACTCTCTGAGGAATTTATTCATTGAAGAAATATTTGTTTGCGATTTGCAGAAGTCAAGCCGAAGAGAGTGATTCATCATGAAGGTCAGTTTCTGAACATCCAGTTTGAAGTGTCGAGAAGAGTTACGCAAAGATTGACTTCAAGGATCATGAAGATTTTCTTGACCGAAGTACTGGGCTATGCTAAGGTCGAAGTTGTTGAGAAAGATGACAAATTCAACATGTCCGAGGTCTTCGGCAGATTATCCGAAATGCCGACGCATGACACCAAATACAGAGTGTAAGACGAACAAACAATCGTGCATAACTTAGCGTGCGTCCACTGCTTAAAAAATAATAGAAAAATCTCTGAAATTTTCAGAATTTATTTTTATCGAAAAAATCAACGAATTGTTCTCTTTAGCGCGTGTATCGCGTTATCACAATTTTTGTTTTTTTTTATTATAAACTTGTATGAACCGCACTTCTTTCGAGATGTTTGCATAAGTCGAACGGAATGTGCGAGTTTAACATGCATATTCATAAGACATACGAATACCATGTTGTTGTTAGCTGCGTGACCAGATTAACGATCGAAAATACCTACTTTGTTGCGCCGATACATGCTTCGCATCTTCTTTCGCGATTACATTCCATTTGAGCTTAGCAACGCTTTCTCTGGCAAATGTTCATGACATTTATATAAACATTCTTATGATATTTATATAAATATTTATTTGTATAAATATAAATTTATATAAATCTTAAATTAACATGGTTCATGTTTCATACATGTTTGTTTTGTTCAAAATATTACAGTTTTTCGAGCTTATTTGTTGATATTTTTAGTTTCTAAAAATGTTTCTTTGATGCTAAATATGTCACGATGTAACATATACAATAAACTGGTATTTGGCAGTTGCGAGAACATAAAATCTCAAAACTTCAAATTTAATGTCTCTTTGTTTTCTCAATAAATAATCATCAAGTTGATGCGCGCTACAAATGTCTGATTTTTTCCTGTAATAAAAACACGGTCAGAAAAACACGTCAAAAATTCAAGATCAGATATGTAATATATATAACACTCGAATTCGCATCTTTTTTTAAAAAACTTAAGTAGAGAAGGTACGTCAACGCGTGTTTAATTTCTCGTTCCAATGACAGATTTCCAGAAACGATGGTAAACATGGAAGTGTGGATTCCGCCGCAACAGGACACGCAGCCGTTGCTCAACAAGTACGACGTGAAGGAATGCGGTCTGATCGCGCCACCAGGGCACTTCGGTTGGTTCGTGCCGGAGATGTTAGCTCGTCCTGACGATACTTGGTTGGTTTTCACCAGACCGGAAACCGCAAGCAAGTTTGCCATTGATCAGAACTACCTGCCGTTCGTCATGAATTTTACGGTGAATCGCAACACCCAGGAATATTATTGCCATGAGAAATTCTGCCAGCACGGAATGTACGTGCCGGAACAGTGTCAGGACACGGAGCAGCAGCAAGCGCCTAATTGCGCGCTGTTGCTGGCCGAGTATCCTGACGTGACTCGTTTCGTGAAAGAAGACATCGATGAGATGAAGTTATACGTCAAAGTGGCGTGGGTGGGTCCGAATCTCAGATACTTGACCAAATACTTGACCAGGGTATACATGCAACTTGCGCGGAACTTGTCAGTTTCCATCGAAAACAGGTACTATTGATGACCTGAACACGAAATCTTGATTGAAACAGCGGTTCCGATTTTGTAAGTGTCATAAGAACATAAAAAAGTATCTTTTTCCAGATCGCTGGTGATTCTCCATTACTTACCCAGCACCGTGATTCCGAATGAGAGAGAGTTCATGACGATCGACTTTCCACATTGCGGTACAAGAAAAGATTCGATCAGCTGCGCGTACGAACCGAACAGACTGACGAAGCTGGTGTGGGGCAGATTGGAGACGATCGCGACTATGGCTTTTCAAGCGATCAATCGTGCAAAGTTTGAGCGAAATATGTATGAAGACCTGATCACGCGACGTATACAGGCAACGAGCAACATATCGGATGAGCAGGTAGCCTGCGATTGGCTGAAGGACAATCTAAACTACACTCTGTCTGAGTGGAAACCCAACAACGACTACAAGAACACTCTCTTCGTGGGCGGAATCTTTCCCATGAGTGGTAACTCTTACATGGCCAAGTCGATTGTAATCGCGGCCAAAATGGCGAAGCAGGCCATCAACGACAACAACACTTTGTTAAGGGATTACAATTTTACTCTGCTGGCTAGTGACGGCCAGTGTAAGTCGGATATGGTAATGAAGTCTTTCATTGATTATATCATGCACAATTATTATCACAAGCTGGTCGGCGTGCTGGGACCGGCTTGTTCCGAAACTGTGGAGCCATTGGTCGGAGTATCGAAGCATTACAGAACGGTGATCATCAGTTATAGTGCTGAAGGATCCAGTTTTGATGATCGCAACAAATACCCGTACTTCTTCAGGACTATCGGGGAAAACAAACAATACAGACACGTCTATCTGCAACTTTTGAAGACATTGCGTTGGAATCGAGTAGCTTCCTTGACGGAAGACGGACAGAAGTATACCGAATATATATCGTACATGCAGGACATGCTCAGAGACAATGGCATAGAATTTGTGGCGAACGTCAAGTTCCCAAGGGAGCGAGAAGCCGACGTGATGAAGAAGGTGAATTTCAGGTTGTTTAATTTCACTTTGTGACTAATTAACTATTTAAGAAAAGTCAATATGAATAAATGTTTTTTTTTTTGTGTAAACGCGTATATAAAAATGCGACTAAAATAAATATCTTTAATTTGCAGTATTTACAAGATTTGAAAGAGAAACGAGCAAGAATTATTATTGCGGACGTATACGGTGAGGTAGCTCGTCAGGTCATGTGCGTGGCGTATGAACTGAAGATGACAGCTGTCCAGGTAATAAAAAATAATTAAATTTCTTAATTCTTGCTTGTTATTTACAAACAAATAAGATAAACAAGATAACAAAAATAAATTTGATAATTCAATTAGTCCGATTGGTTTTTTTTTTTTGTGTTCTTATTGAAGGGCTACGTTTGGTTTCTTCCACTTTGGCTGAAGCATCAATGGTACGATACCGATCATTATAACAACATTGAGAACGAACAGGTGCCGTGCACCACGAAGGAGATGATGCAGGCGATAAACGGTCATCTCGGTCTGTCGCACGCGTACTTCGCCCGGGACGACGATATAATGCAGGAAGGAATTACGGTGCGCGAATGGCGCGAACGTTACGAGAACACCTGCGAAACGCAAAATCTACAACCGTCGAATTACGCCGGTTACGCCTACGACGCCATGTGGACTTACGCTTACGCTGTGGACCGACTCATTCGTGAGAACCAGAGTTACATCTTCGATCTTCACAGCGAACACACTGTCAATCGTCTCACTCACATAATCGGAGAGACCAACTTTTATGGGGTTGGTTGAATAAATTCGAAATATAACATACACAAAAAAAAAAATATAAAAAACAGTAATAATACTAGTAAGAATTACGCGCTGGATGTATGAGAAAGTATTTTCTTTGCAGGTATCCGGAAGAATAAATTTCTTAGGTGGATCATCAAGGTATTCGATCATCAATATTGTGCAATTCATCGATAACGAAACGCACATTGTTGGCAACTTTTATCCGAACATCTCGGAAGTCAAACACGAGGTAATCGGTGGCAATATGATCTTAAACACTTCGGCTATCGTTTGGCTGTCGGGAACAATGCCCGATGACGGATCGGAACCTCCAACGAGATGCGCTTTGGCGGGATTGGCGGAACTGCTGGACGTCTCTTGCGAAGTAGCGCTCGTGATCACTAACATTATCGGCATTGGTCTCCTTTTGATCTTCGTAATCGTTGCTTTTATCATGATCAAGAGAAAGTAAGTGAGACTCTGACAAAATGCATTTTTTCAAGGCGTCATTTTGCAGGAATTTTGTAAAACACGTTGTTTTTGTTATTTATTTAGATACGAAAAACAAGTAAAACGTCAGGAAAAGTACATGAAGTCCTTGGGCATCGATTTATCGCAAACAGACACCTCAAGTTTGGATGTGTGGGAAATTCCCCGAGATAGAGTAGTGATCAATCGAAAACTCGGAGAAGGCGCCTTCGGCACCGTTTACGGCGGTGAGGCCTTTTTCCCTGAAAAAGGATGGCTGGCTGTTGCCGTGAAAGCTCTGAAGGTCGGCAGCTCGACCGACGAGAAACTCGATTTTCTAAGCGAGGTCGAGGTAATGAAAAGATTCGACCACAAGAATATTATTCAACTGTTGGGTGTGTGCATAAAATGCGAACCCGTTTTGACCGTGATGGAGTTTATGCTCTACGGCGACTTGAAGACATATTTACTGGCCAGAAGACACCTCGTCAACGACCGCAGCTATGAAGATTCCGACGAGATCTCGAATAAGAAATTAACCGCTATGGCGTTGGATGTCGCCAGAGCGCTCAGCTATTTAGCACAGTTGAAATATGTTCACAGGTGAGTTAGAAAACTTCGAACTTGATTGATGTTGAAGTTTGGAACGTTTGTCGAGCGAAAAATTTTTTTCTATCTTTTCACAGAGACGTCGCTTCTCGCAATTGTCTGATAAACGCTCAGCGAGTGGTGAAGCTCGGTGATTTCGGCATGACAAGAGCGATGTACGAGAACGACTATTACAAATTTAATCGAAAGGGTGAGATTATGAAAATATGCTTTTTCTTATCACAGTGGTCATTATTTTATAAGATACTGTATTATCGTGAAAATGATCATTTAGGTATGCTTCCGGTAAGATGGATGTCGCCGGAATCGCTGGCATTAGGTATTTTTACGCCAGCGTCTGATGTCTGGTCTTATGGCGTGCTGCTCTACGAAATCGTCACATTCGGCAGCTTCCCCTTCCAAGGGATGAGCAACAACGAGGTGCTCTCGCACGTGAAAGCTGGCAACTGTCTCACTGTACCGAAGAAAATAAAACCTCAGCTGTAAGTAGATTCTCTTAGTAAAACCGATCGTATCTTCTTTAAGGCACTTGGTTAAATTTTTCGGAATTGTCAAAAAAAACGCTGTTATATATTTCATGTTTTATTCCTAGCGAGAGTTTAATGAATTCCTGTTGGAATGTGGACCATTCGAAGAGGCCGACGGCACCGGAGATCGTTGACTTTCTAGCAACAAATCCTCGCATCATCGCACCGTGTTTGGACGTGCCACTATCTAGCGTGCAGCTAGAACATACCGCGCAGTTGGACGTACAGCTGTCGGAACAGAACAATCGTAAGTTCTCTATTTCGTGGCCGTCGCGAAACGGAGAACTCCCATCTTTGCAGAATGAATCGAAATCCTTGAACTCACCGCTTTTGCTGGATCTGAATGGCCAGGACGACGATCAGAATTTGAATTCTCTGCTGATCAATCAGTCCAGCGAGCAGGACAGTACAAGTCCTCTGTTGAATTCCGCAAGACCAAACACAACTCTGAAACACGCATGGCTCAAGGACTTTAATAACGTTCAAGATAAAGAACATGCTCACAGGTACGTGAATATTCAGCCGGGTATGTTGAAGTTGACCTCTGCCGAGCCCGGTATGAACGGCAGCGTCAGCAACATTCAGATGGAAGAAAGAACGTCTATGCTGCTCGAGAAGAAAACTCCAGATAACGTATCTATGCTTTGACAAGAGTAGACACAATTTCGCAAAGAGATCGGAAACTAGTCAGGCAACCGAGATATTCGGAGACATGACTGTGCAAAATCAACAAAAATTCGCAGATAATAAACAATCGCCAACAAAGCGAGGAGATTGATATAAAAAAGTTGACAATTTCAAGGATATATACCAAAGCATTTGTCAATAAGCCTCGAGAGAATTTGATACAGCATTTTCAACCACAGTCAAGTATTCTCTGAAGTTTTCAACTGTTGAGAAACGGTTTTGAGAAAGTTTCCACAATGAAACTTATGACTCCTATAATTGAATTCCTAATACGGGTGTTTTCGAACGTCCCGAAATGTCCGCAGCGAAACCGGTAGCTCTGTCTCAAATGAATTAAAATAGTTTTAGATGATGAAGACTATATATAAAAATGTGCGCGAACTCGGATCGTACAAGCACACATTAATATCGAAATGATATAATTCTATATATTTTAATATTTTCAATCCTGAATCGTTTTATTTTGATACTCTAAAAGTAAATCATCAGATCTGACGCATATTATTTAATTTTAAAATATTAAAACAATTGTGTAAAAATTCTGGAATCTTTTTTCAAGTGTTTGTTAATATCTTTTGTTGTTCGAGAAAACAGTTTTATATAATTTACTTTTAATGATTTTAGAAGTTTCGAAAAGTGTTGGATAAAAAAGACCAAAAGATTCAGAATTAGATATATCTCGTATTCCACATATATTACAATATATATACGTGTAGAATTATATTATTCAGAATATTTTGGAACGTAATAGCAGAGACAACCCGCTACCACACAATAGTGGAACTTACGGATCTACTTTTGAGACTGACTTCCATTGCGGAATTACGTCGCATTATTTGACACTTTAGGCACGGATGACCGACAATTATCGCAGACAGATAACATCAAAACAATATAGCGAGAGAAGATATTGCTTCTCGTGCATGCGAATTTAGCAGCAGAAGAGACGTCGGTGCATCCTTCATTCAGCAGTTGCCTTCTGCTCAAAATGCATCTTTTAAGACTGACTCTCGAGATGAACGCGTATCGTCTTTAATCCTGTTTTCTTTTTGTCTTCTTTTTACGTCGACCTACAATTTTCACGTTCGGGAAGGAACTGGCGTATTCAAAGAGATAAATCCTGCTGTTACAAATCGTTTCTTTGCAAGTGGCGACATTCGCGTAACCATGACATTTTCTCTCGTTACACGTAAAAAAAAATTAGTAAAACAACTTTTCTCGGACAATCTTCTTGATTCTTCTTTGCAAATGCGATCAGCACACATGTCGATTTATATGTCGCCACATTTTCATGCATAGTTTAATTTATACTACGAGACTAATCAACCCAAGCTGGTTCTGCATACTCGATCACAAAGGTGCGATTATTTATTGATAAGACAAGTGGATTTTTTGCAAAGAATTTTTTTTACGAAATATACGTTTCTCGTTGAGGGTCCACGATCCACTTATAATAGCATTCTTGTACAAAGTAGCTGTCTTCAGGTGACAGATAAGCACACATACATCACATTTTCTAAAAAATAAGCTCGCCGTAAAAACGTTTTGTTACCCTTTCCAGCATCAGTTAACAGTTCCTTGAGAACCGCCGCTTATATACATTATGTTCCTGCATTCTCGATGTAGATAAGTGCCGAAATATATAAATATACGTACAACACATATAAATATATACGAGTCTCTTATCTCTAATACTGGAGAAAAATTTGTTAAAATCCACTCTTTTGAGATGAGAGACTGAGTACGCAAGTAGAGAGTGCCATTAGTTACATAATAATAATTAGCAAGTGCGAAAAAAGTCGTGCAAATAGTTTATATACACTTGAATAGAATTTATAATGTAAATGATACATATATATGTAGGATATACTATACAGAGCTGGAAAGGGTCAGCATCCGCTGTTCGATACGACTGAATAGCTGTACAACTAAAAAAGCGTTTAATCACAACGTTCGTAGAGCTTTGAAGACTCCGATATAAAGTATTTTTTAATTTTCGATTCCACTTCGTAAGGTTTTTTTTCACACGCGGTTGAAAACACACGACTTGAATTATACTACACGTAGTGCAATCACTGTGTGCAATCGCTGTATGTCTTTATACATCAAAGCAATGTGTATAATATTCACGAGCATCTCTCTCTTTCACTATCAAAGAATTTTTATAAAAAGACTTGTCTCAATTATAAGTTTTTAATACGTATATATGATTTGTAAAAATCTAAAAATACAAAAGAAAAAAAAAACGAATTCAAACGCAAAGAAAGAAAGAAACGCATAAAACATTTTATACACATACAATGCAGGATATACATGAAAAAGAAATGAAAATATTGTTTATTTAAAACTATTTTATTATTTATAAATATTTTTATACTTATAAGATTATAGCGGCTTTTTCTAGTATATATAGAAGATATCGTTCGAGTTTCATAACAACATTCGTATACCACACACTAAAAGTATAGATATTATATAAATCGTCATCACGCGCGCATCACAATAATAAGAAAATTTGCTTTTGTGTTACGACACAAAGACAAACTTGTTCGATTGCGTCGCGATAGGTGTTACTCTTTCGAGACAGACTGTAGATTTGTAAAAAAAAAAAAAAAAAAAAACAAGATTTACGCACGTTTGTATATATCGCGAAATATTGCTAAGTTTTTCCTATAAAATAGCTGTTTAAAATAGTCATCTTTAAAGATAATCTTGGTGTGTGATTTTGTCGGATACACGCAATTACTCCTACATACAGCATCCTTCAAGTTCTTGCTACAGACCAGTGTTATTTATTGTCGAATAATACATAAGCGTTATGAATTATTCGCAGCCCAAGATTTCTTGAGTGCATATTCGTATAAATATGCCTCCGGAAGTGAAACAATGTTATAAACACATGTCTCATAATTTTATTGCTCACATGTAATCATTACTCCGTTTTTTTATACATTCGATTAAAATTTCAGAATTGCTAATATATTTTATATCTTGCTACTATTATTATGTATATGTATTTAATTTATAATTATATATATACACACTTTAAATCTATTTTTATTTTACACACAAGTATAATAGATGTATAAAAAATACTAGAGAAAAACATATGTCACGAGAGACACACATCCCATTTTCCTATGCATCGTGTACCTATTTCAGATTTATTTTATAATCATTATTATTTCGAAAATTATTTGTGTCATTGATTATTGAAATATTTTATAATTTTTAATTACAATTTTTGTAAATAGGAAAAAAAATATATAAATATATATATAGAAGCCAAAAATTTATAAATATAATAAAGACTTATTTTATAAAACAAGTACGTAATTATTAACTTTATTTCTTTTTTAGATAATAATATATAAAATATATATTCGGTGTAGAGACTATATATGTTTTGTTTTTATTGAAATAGTTTTCGGAAATATCATAGGAGCAGTTAAGATTACAACAGTCAGTTTATAATTTCTCCGACAGTTTGCGCCACAGTAAATTCTTTAAACTAAATGTATATGCTACAGTACCGCTTTATATAATACTATACATGCAAGAAAAAATATTATTAATATTATTATTATTTTGCCATAAAAAGAAAGTGGTCAAAAGACGATTGTAATAATATCGCGCTACGTTAATTTTAAGTAGAACTGTTTTTTCTCTAGAGCTTTGTACAAAAAATAGTTGATTTAAAACACACTAAAATAATAGATAATTAAAAGATCAAAAACACGAGCAACAACCAAATGTTAAAAACCATAAATTTTCACATTATGACTTTTTATACATTTATTATACATTTAGCTTTATACGTTTTTCATCTGCAAAACGAACAGCTGTTGGGGTTTTAAATTCACTCTCACAATCCTTTTATTTACGAAGCATTTTGTTAACCAGTATTGTTTTTGTTGAAAATATATATCGAAAATAAGAAAAAAAGTATTTTAACTCTTTCCCAGAATTGAAATTACTCTTTCATCTCTCTTGTTATTTATATAAGATTTGTCGTGCTTCGAAACGAGAGATAATATTTCAACATTGAAAAAGTGCGTGTCTTGATGGCATTAATTAAGGACGTCGCTTTGAAATTGCTTCTTAACTAGGTCTCACTGCGCTTAGAGATGCGTTACAAACACATCTGGTAATTAAACGTAACCCAGTTACCAGGTAAAATACAATTCTATATTGTTCGATCACGGAGATAAGAACATCAGTTACAACGAGATGTGACAACCTCGATTGAACGCTACAACTTTTGCAATTTAAACGATCATATTTTAAATTGCTTTTTAAAACTTTCAAGAAAAGTAATATTTTTATGAAGAATTATTATTATCGCACAAACGCACGAACAGTTTTGAAAATAAATTATGATATATATTTTCTTTAAATTATTGAATAAAACTGTATTACCTATCAATTCAACATTGTGCTCTATTATATATCAAGTTTTTGGAATCAATTCCAATCAAAATTACGCTTTTTTATTGTTGTTTTTCGTGACAAAAAAGAAAGGAGTACTTTTAAAGAAAATTAATTTCGAAAAATTACACAATAACTACTTTATATAATAACTTCCTGAATAAGAGCAGTCTTGTCGGTCATTATCTAAGAGACAAAAACTTCTTTTGTTACAATGAAATCTTAGAGAATCTCGTTTTATTATTCTACCTTCTCTATCTACGGGAGATCGAAGATATTGCCTCGGGAGAGGTCAAACTTATCGGAACGGAAATCGGAGAAGTAGTTTGAATATAAATTGCCTGTATGTCAAACCACGCATACATCACACGTACACGTACATCACATATGTTCAACCCGGAAACAATGATCCCACAACAGACTATACCGATTTTGTATTGTAGAAATATAATCATTTCTCTCGTGACATTTAACAAAAGTTAAATGTCATGAGAGAAATGATCATACATGTATAATAGAAAATATAATTTCAAATATTTCGATATTAATTTATTAACGATAAAACGTTTAATGTATTGTATTGATAATTTTGGTTTAATTAATTGATGAACAGTCACATATATTCTACTTTGTGCTTAAAGCTGTTAAAATAATTTTAATATATTGTTCTATACACAAATTATTATGATCAATCAAAGTTGATTACGACATATACTATCTATACTAGATATATATAAACATATAAAAGGTGTTAGAAATAACGCATAAAAATCAAACTCAAAAAATAGTGAAAGAGAGTAGAAAAACAACACGTGACTAAAGTAAAGTCACGTGACAGGGAAGAGAAGAAAAACAACACGTGACTAAAGTCACTTGGCGCGAGACACTACCGTGCGATTTTCTTATTTTTTTTTATATCTTTTTTCTTATTTTTTGTATTTATATATTTCTGTTTTTTGGACTATTATTTGTCTTGCTACATTATATAATATTATAAAGATTATATAATATTATATAATATTATATAATATTATAAAGAAAAATGTTTTGTTAATGACTAGATAATATAAAACGATAGATCACTTGTAAATACAAACACTTTGCAAGTATATTTTGTCACAGTATTTCAAAGATATCGCGAGATGATATATCGTGCTTATTTAAAGCAGCTTGCTTAGCTAAACGTGTCTACTCAGATATTCAATGCTCGATGTCTATTAATGATCCACTGATAGCGTCTAATGGATATGGGTGCTATTATATTGAGATTACTCGAATTACATCATGATAATAGCGGATCTCAATACGCGCAATAAGGGTGCAAAATTAACGCGAGAAATATTGACTTACCGGAAACACTTTCGCTCGGAACCGGAGAACGACGTGATAACGCACACATTTATATCGCCTGCTTTTCATTTATTTTCTTTTTTTGACTTTTATATTATAAGAGATAATTTTCATCGTTCCGTTTTTCGCTTTCAACTTTGTTCAGAGTTTCTATTGCAATAAAAACGCTAAATCGAGATGACATAGAAAAACGACACCTAATGTAAGTTTTCCTTACTTCACGTAGGGATGAAAACTTTTCGAGAAACTTTCCACGTTTGGGAAGAGGAACTGCCGTCAGCATCCCGCGGAGCAAACGGTGTTGTATCGTTCGTTAACAAAACGTTTGCGCGAGTATCAACGCGATAAATCGTCGCGAGTCGTTATGCGAGTAGTCGCGCAGGTCATGCGTGACACGGGAAAGTACATGTCGCGTGACATACACATTCATTGAAATCAGACAAATGCGTGTGTGCAATGTGGCAACAGGCGAGTGGTTCCACGCATCGATTTCCGATATGCAACGTGTGTGTAACGTACGCGCTATATATTCTTCTTCGCCACGAAGAGAGAAAGAGAGAGGAAATTTCCCGTCGCGATCCTTCGCCCTTTGCCATTCTCTTTCTGGTCATGTTTGCACCGATGCATGCGCGACCACCGACCGATCACGATGGAAAGCGTGTACAAAATTTCCTGCATTTTTCTCTCATCGCTATGGTCAAGAATTCAGTGTATTGTCGATGCGAATTTACAGTAGTTTTAAATGACAATGGAATAATAATATAAATAATAATAATTGTGAAATTAACGTGGATTGTTTTTTTATTTCTTGTATTTATTGCTTTATGTCACGTTATATCGTGATTTCACATTATATCGTGATTTTTTTTTAACGAGAAGAACATTATAAGTTTTTGTATTTTTAGTACCTTTTATAAAAGATACCTCGCGTCATGTGATGTTGCATTTTACATCAATAATTTTCTATCAAAGATATCCCCGGAATGCCGCATGTAATTTGTTTATTAAAATACTTTCTTTTGACGTATCATCCGACCGAAGCAGGTTAAGGTGAGCTTAATAGACTAAGCTTTCTAAGTGGCGTCAAAAACATCAGCGGTCTCATCGCGGAATGTTAATGAAATTGGTACGCCGTACTTTCGCATTATTTGCGCATTAATTAGCCTTAAAAGCGCGCTCGGTTGCAACGTTTTTTTAATGGATTCTGCTTTCCGGCCGCGGAAACGACGAAGGATGGGCGAACGGAAGAACGGCAAAAAAAAGACAAACGCGAAAAATGAAGGAGAAGACAACACACAGCGACGTCCGGGCCGGGCAAATGTCGAACAGACTGTGGAAGCCTTCCGTGGAATTTCATTTGCCGAAATAGGGTTTCGCTTAAGAGAGACGAGATAGACGAAGAAGAAATAC